ATTTTGTCACGATGTTTTTCGCTTTAAACCTCTGGTAGATGGTTTTAAACCTGAAAGTAAAAAAGTTATACTTTTATAGACAACGTTATCAAATGCTTCTGTTACGTTTGAAAGCAAACCACTAATGTCTGTTTGAATTATATTCTTACTATTGTCATTTCATACTGAGGACAAGATCGTAAAATCTCATTGACTGTTCGAAGATTAAAGTCGTAAAATCTCCCTTTTATTATGGAGCGTCATTTGACCGTGTTTTTATAGAATTTAGATGAAGGTTTGAATGTTTTTGCTTTGAGATTTTTATATCCCTATTTAATGCGACTTTATACTTCCCTGACGATATTTTAATAATGTCATTTGAATTTATGATGCTAACAAATCACGTTTTCTATTTTCAGGTATAAACCGCAATTTCTAATTAAGCAACTGCAAGGGTAAGCTGTCCGTGAAAGGAACATTGATCCGCCTACTTTATTTAAGAACGGCACAGTTCAAATAACTGTGCGAATAAATCAGCCCAAGGCAAGCTGTTAAACCATTTAAACCAATATTTTAGGCCTTCAATTGTCTACCTACGCCACGTTCCGCAAGGTTCTGCTCTAGGTCCTGTACTTTTCAAATTAGACATTATTATGTTCTATCCATGTTGGTACTCTTATTACAGAACGAGATAGAAACAGAAGGTTGTTTTATTTAAGGGTAGGCGGACAGGTGCGTAGGTAACAAACAGGTCTGGCCGGGATCCATTTCATTCTTATGAATTCATTTGACAATTACATTAATTGAGATATTTCAGTGAATGGTTATGTAACGACGAAAATATATACACATTCAACCATTAATAAATATTAGGAATTAGTGGACTAAATTTATTCCGTTTACCAAGACAAAATATTTTGTGAAATACGAAAAAACAAATAACACCAGACTTCTATAGCTGGTTGACCTTTGACTTTCGGCTTACCTCTAGTCCCTGTTTCTAATCTATCCACACGCGAAATACAGTCCTAAAGTTTATTATTCTCGTAAAAAGAAACTTATTAATAATTAAAAATGGAGCCTTAGCAGCCCTATGTAGTGGATAGTTTGACTTTCGCCTCCATTCTTCTGATGAGATTTGATTTGTAGACGAGATTTCTGCATAAGGAATATCTTAACCGCTTACGAAGTCATCGCATTTTTCTTCAGAATTTTCTATACAGTGTTTTTTTTTTAATTCGGACAGTATAAGGAAATCAAAACCATAGTGATTATGTACCATAGGTATACTAGGAATCTGTCTCAGGCATCGTTAGATCTTTATTTGTAAACCAATTATAGCAGTAAATTTTTTGGTCGACTGATGAAAAATAAATAATATTTTCTGACTAAGTTTCTTATAAAATCGAGATAGCAGAAATTGGTCAAATTTAATCAAATGTTTATTCATACATTTGAATAAAAATATTTTATTAATTTTGACCTACTTCAGCAATGTATTAAATCATAATCGAAGTTCTTACTCGTGCGCGCACAGAAAACTGAAATATGAAACGCTGTTACGTCTATCCTAGTTAAATAAAAACTCTGTATATCGTGACTGCGAATGTACAGTGTCAAAAGCTCTTCAAGCTTGACAGTTAAGTTTTAAATTCAACATAATGTCGCTTGCGGTAAGAATGTTTCAAAGTCCAAAGTGTCAAGCAAAGCAAAGTAACTGTTGTAAGTATAGTATTGAAATAAAATATATTTTATTAAAGACAAAACAACGAAATTAATTCAAATATAATCACAGATATACAAAGATCGCAAATAATATAATATCAAATACAACCTCGTTCACCCGACTTGCACTGCGGACGATGGATGAGGAGGTCCCTGTAGGACCAATTTGGAAAATGAACTTTTCTAATTCGCTTCTAGTGTGGGTGTTTTCTGTAATGCCCCCGAGTGATATCCGTTCCTCTTGTGCTTATAATACAGATAATTTCCTAACTTGAGACCAGGCAATTGGTGTAATGATCTGGCACATTATTATTATTGTCAATAAATATAATAAATTTAATTTATCTGAATAACATTGACAAAATATCAATGATAACAAAATTGAAAACATATACAGAGCACTCAAACGCACAATCTTTATAGAATCCCTGTTAACACAACGTCGTCCTCATACATTATCTGAATGACAAATATGGAGGAAAGCAACAAGGTGCAAGGATGGAACTGGTTTTATTCTAGGGAATGAGTGGGAGGACAACATTCTCAAAACGGACTTCATTATTGTGACTATAATTAGAGGAACAGGTCCAAATAGGATCATGTACAAGTTGATCGGGAAGAAAGCGATAATAAATCTTGTACGATCAACACACAACACATTGAGGACATAGAATTTTAAGAGACATTGTTATTAAATCGGTAATACCGGGTATGTGTATATGTACACAATGCAAATAATGACACCTACGTCACGTTGGGTAAAGGACGAGACAAAACCAATTGAAATAGTGATAGATTTATTATTCAAAATGGATGAAATTTCTGCGAGAATTTACCATACATTATAGTAATGGATAATATAATAATCATATACGTACACATTTCACGCTCGTTTACCATTAGGGTAAGCAAAAGCCCACAACATTCCCCTTGATACGATCCTCATACACATATATCGGCTCATCAATACGCATCAATGCTTTCCTACACGCTCATCGAACTTTCTTTAGAACGTCTTCAGTTTGGTCTTGGCAAGTTTGTCTTAATCGGCCCTTACCAACTTGGTCGATCATTATAAATCTGATCCTCTCTCCATCTTCAAACCATCTAATCATCATCATCAATTTCTCTATTTATGTTACTACATCCTTTTTCACGCCGTAACGCTCTCTTATCACAGTGTTCCGTAATTTGTCAGTTAAAATCTTTTATGTCATATTTTTTGTACATGATAAACGTGTTTTCAATTAGTATAAATATGAACTTATTTCTAATCAAATTTTCATAATAAAAGAACCAACAAATAAGCATAGCATAACAATTGAAGTAAAATTGTACTCATCAAAGAAGTGCTTTAATACCAATTAAAGTTGACCTCTGTAAATGCTAATGAAGCTGCATTGAAGAAGAAGCTTCGATTTATCCATATAAAGCGAATTTATTAATATGAAGCCTCTCCATAGAGGTCAGACAGATCAAATTAGACTGGATGATGACGTTAAATGGAAACAACATCGTGCCTGCTGCTACGATGCTGAGATAAGAATTTGCACGACTCGCAGAGGAATTTTGTACCGCACAGCCATGTAGCGCTTTAGGTTTATAACGTAATGAAACATATGAATTATATTCCCTCATATGAATCGTAACTTGCACAGCCATGTGGCAAAATATACCTTCTTGAAAAAATACCTAAAACACTGTCCAGTAAAATATTAGCTATTAAACCGTAGTTAGTATATTTATTATTGTATAACACTGGAATTTTAAAAGTGCTGTATTAGTGTGAACGACAAAACTAAACACTTTCCTTTTACGATAATGAAACCAGAAATTTTACTTCCAGCTCCATAATGGAACAATTAAATAAATATAAAATTAGGATTACCTACCTAAAACGCCAATGCTGTATTCCGTTTGAATAATACTAAACAACATTAAAAATTATTGTCATAAACGGCATAGTAAATCTAGAAAATATATTTTGTCCTTATACAAGGCAAAGAAACACATGGATTCCAATTTAATGAAATAGAACTAGACTTTGTGTGGGCGGATGACATTAAGAGAACAGTGTTCAAAAATACTTTCTTTATTCCCTCCAGGGAAATCAATGACTGTAGTCAATACGTCTCTGGCCAAAAAAATATATTTTATCCTTATAAACATGCTTTAGGACACACATGCGAGGTCTAAGCTACGGAAACGGAACTGGAACTTGTGTAGGCGGATGAAATCCGAGAACAATGTTCGAAAATATTTACCTATTTTATTTCTCGGGGGAAATCAACACCTTGCACAGATAGGAAACTATTTCCAGATGAGATAATAAGAAAATGGCATACTAAATTGGTAAAATAATGAAAAATAAAGCCTTGAAGCAGCTGACTGAACGAAATGTCGCATGGAATATGAAACAAGAATATGATCTCAGGGTTAATGCTAAGGTTTTGTGCCGTTTTATCTCAAAAACGGTAACTGTCTTAGTCTCCTAAAATGTAAATTGGGTCTTTTGCATTAATTCCTTTATAAATTTTGGTGTTTTATCTCGGGAGGAAACAATTCTAGTTCATAGGACTATTTAAAAATTGTTATCAGTATTTCAATTATTTCACTTTGGATTCTTAAACGTAAAAATGTGATTAAAACATTTAAACAAAGCGTTATACTCGAATCATTCATCACAATTAATATTTCGTAATACGCATTCCATCCAATTAAATTTTGTATTTACACTCTCTACGGTAATAGAGCAATTAACTATTTGTTTTGACAATAACCTGTCAGACAAATGTATATTTGTCAAACAAATTGTTGTCATAACAAACAGTTTATTACTGTATGTCAGTATCTATGATAGGTAATCTAGTAGGAATACTAATATTTCGATTCGCGTCTCAACTAAAAAACGTTTCCCATATAACCTCTGAGCAATTGTGTGACGGTGCTTGACTGTCTGTTCAAACACATAAAATATAAATGGTAAATGTTAACTAAAGAGCAAATTTGATAAGAAAGATAATACAAAACATACATAGTAGCAGGGGCGCCCCTCCTCTACCAAGCACAGTCGGTTCAGTATGACTCTCGCCGCGATCGCGGGTGGACTTATCGTTCTACAGGGCTTCGCGACATCCGTAAATCATAAATCGGATTCGATACCGGAAAAAGCGACAGGAATACCAAACACCAGTAGAATAGTGATGACATAGAACAATAGTGTATCAGTGACATTATTAAAAAGGAACATAAGACAATAGACGAAATTACGGTCAGTGCTAACGGAAGTTAGAGACTAGAAATTATTGATGGTGATTGTCTCTCTATTGTTAATCTTAGACCTTGTGGATTCGATGTTTTGACAGGTGTTATTGAAATATTGTTAATGGAATATCATGACATTAACAATATCAATGGATTTACCATGAACAATTAAAACGTACTTGGTGGATGAATACTGTGGGAAGAAATAGAAGTATTTGTGTTGCCCCGATTAATTGGTGATTAAATTTTAACAATGGGATTGCGAATCTAGTGAAACGAATACCATTATACTATTGCTATGAAGCTATGTAATTTTTTCAAATTCTAAACTACTTTAGTGAAAACTAATCAACAATGTTAGCTGTAAAGAACTTTTTTATGCCCGAGAAGAGGGTGGACTCTCCAAGATTTTCTCGGATGCCGGAGGCTCTCATGAGGTCTATAAGACGCCGGTCTCTGAGAGTTAAGCGGACGAAGTCTTTAGTACTTGTCAGCGAGAAAAGGAAATCTGGTGAGTGGTAGTGTATTGAACTCCATCATTTGCTTTTGTTTTACTATTTACTATAATAATTTTTTTCTCCTATTACATATTGAAATGTTACATTGTAAATACATAATTAACGTTTTATAATTCATGCGAGTTTTTTCGAGACTCAAAAAATATAATTTACTTACTGTAGATAGGTATGGTAAGTAGGTACTTTGCTGCTAATGAAACCTTTTTACAGCCTTCTTACGTAACAATATAATTAGGAACTTTTCATCGAGTTCTTAGGTTTTTAAGGTTTTTAAGGATCTTTTTGCTTTGGCGAAACCAAAATGTATTCACTTAGGTTTTACACAGAGCCTAAAATAGCTAACCGATTTAAATTGTATAGGCATCGTTGTATTTGTTTCGATCGTCTGCGTAGGCTAGATATTTTTATGAAAAATTCAATATAGCATCCATAATACATAACATTACGGCGGTAAAAAATAAAAATCATCGAGTTCTATCGTGATAAGTGTTAAATTAAAGAGCTTTAAATACCATTATAGCATACAAGGCAGCAAAGTATAACAATAGTTTTATAAGAAATTATTTTCTGCACTAATTTTGTTCTATTTCCCTTTATATTCCAAATATGTGCAACCAATGGTATAGACGCAGCTTCTTATTATTAGTATAAGTAAAAACACGTTCTTTCATCAACCCATAGACGTCCTACCTCGCTATGGGTTAGAGAAACATTTTTCAAAATTTCAATTTTAGTACGATATTATCATAACGGGTATAGTCTCTGTAGAGTCTCTCTAATCGGTTATTAATGTGAGCTGATGTTTAGAAGAAATATAAATGAATGTGTAAATAATATTCAAAGTTAAAAACTAAAATTCGTGTAAAGTTAGAACTTAATTGTTCTAGTGGTAATGAGTTGTAAGCCGAAGGTCAGTCAATATGTTTGTCGAGCAGGCTGAAAGGCGTCCGACTTTGACTTATTATCTCTGAAACATTAGGAGTTATTTGAACAGAAATTAAATTTGAGGTTTTTCGCTTATTTGAAGTTTGTCGGGTTATAGTTTTTATTTACGTTGAAAATACACTTAGAGGAAACTACTTCATGTATGCTCTAACGACATTCCACTTATGTGCATTTACTCAGCATTTGATATAATTACATCATTATTTGAACACCGTCGTAAAGTTGCCTGCTTATCGGTATTCTTCAAGATATATCAAGGAGAGTGTGCGATGGAATTACACGATTTAATTCCGCCTTCCCAAAGGGGAATTAAGTCCCGTGGAGAATGGAATTCCGTGCCTGCAGATTTATTTCCTGAACGATACTTAAATTTTTGTTTTTACAAGACAAGAGAACAAGTCGTGTGGTTGGTGGCAAACGACATGTGTGTCCGTAGTAGTTGCACTGCCACCGCGCTGGTCACCCTAAGTTGACAAGTCCCATGTCTGTCATTTCACCAAAATTCAATTTAAAAAGTAAACAAATTAATTATTCCACATCGAAAATTGGATTGTTTCAAATCAAATATCATTATTTAAACTATTCGATTCAAATAATTGACAACCATTTACTTAAAGTTTAGTATTCGAAATTATAAAATGTTATTACCTAAATGACAACAAATACGAAATAACAGTAATACTGCTGTCAATATAGTCGGCGTTACCGCTAATTATGCTTAACAATTTTGTCATGATCAACCAAACAACAGTTTTTGTCTTCTCCCACTGGTTATCACACTGTTTTCTAACCAATAAATAATTCATTGCACGATATTGCATTTTGTAATACAATGCAATATCTATTAAAAAGTAATTTGGTTTTCAGATTAGCGTTCCTTGAAAATTAAGATCAATGAATCGTTTAACTGGACGATTAAAAGGCGTAATGGCGACATTTGGGAAGATAATTATTATTCCCACGGTACTTAACTTTAATTACGTAAATATGTCGAATAACGCGTAGTGGTATTGTACTAATGAGTTTTCTCTACACCGTTGCGCAGAAACAGATAATTTGTAAGCCTAAAGTTTTCTTACGCACTGCCTTCAGAATAAAGATAAGCTTTAATCGAGTACATTTTTAGCTTCTTTAGGGTATCTTAATGAAATCTATTGCAACTTGATTAAATTCGTTACTTAACAATTGATATCAGCTTTGGACATTTGAATATGTTCCTTAATTAACCTTAACAAGGTCTCATTGTAAAAGCAAACAATCATATATCAAGCAAGGATCAATATATTCTTATTTTAATATCCGTAAAAAGTGTTTAAAAGCTACCCAACTTGGCTGTACTCAATTTTTTTTAATATTAAATGACGGGACGAACAAGTCGTGCGTCTGGTAGTAAGCCACACGCCTGCCCATAACTATATATATGATTTGATGATTACATATGATGTAATATTACGAAATAAATTATTTGAATTTGAATAACAGTTTGAATAACCGAGCTTTAAATCATAAAGATCTTGGGGCACCGCCACTGCGCCCGTCACCCTGAGACATAAGTTGACAAGTCTCATGTCGCTATAATATCACCAAAGTTCAATTATACTTACAAATCTTCTAAAAAAATGACAAACAAGAAAATTTAATATATATTATATATTACATTTTTAAAATTTAATATATATTATATTAATATATATTAATTATTATATAACTGCAGTCGACGTTGCTGAAATAGGTTTTATCTTCATCTTTTAACAAGTTGTAAGTGAAATATGCGGGTACGGTAATATTTAACACAATAGAATACCATATTTAGTACAATGTGATCAAACATACACACAATACAAATCCTCCTCCACATTCCTTTGTAAAAATGCGAATTTTTAAATAGTAATTTTATTGTTTCAATGTTAATATGTAGTTGGTTTTGTTATGTATATATTGTGAATATATAATATATCATATACGTAATAGTAAATAAATAACTAGGCGCTTTGACAAGTTTTACAACAACTAAAATAGCGTAAGTATTATTCGGCGCTTTGACAAGTTTTACAACAACTAAAATAGCGTAAGTATTATTGTATATATATTGATTATTTATTTATGAATTGAAACTTTCATATTTACGAAATTCATTAGCACGTTCGACAATTAAACCTCAAATGTTTGTGGACGTTTTTGAAATGGCCTGGTTTCAAAAGATAAGAATAACAGGCCATGTTGAGACCCGTCTTCTTCTTTTTATCGTATCGAGTGCATGCAATATAATGTTTGCTAAAGCACTAAAAAGCGTAATTATAAAGAACATTGATTTTTAAATCAAGTTAGCCAATCAAGATACTAGATGGAATCAATCATAACATGATTAAATTCATTACTTCAATAAAATTATTGGCTGCAATCATGTTAAGAATATGTAACAAGGAAACAAACTATATTATGATCACTTTTACAAAATTAATAAAAATAAAATAAATTAAAATGTTTCTTTATTTAGGTATACACCCCTTAATAAATTTAACATTACTTATTACATTATATAATAATGAAATTGAATTTTATTAACGGAAAATTATTATTATTAATGAAGTAAATAATTAAGAATTAAATTAAATTGAATTTACATATAACACTAATTATAATTAATTTATTTATATTTTAAAAATGGAGTGTTCGCTTACAAAGTAGCACGTACTGTATACTGTCCTTACTATATATTAGCCAAATCGCTCACTCTCACTACTGTTCTTTGCTTCAGTTATATTATTTTGTGTTTTGTTACTACAACACAAAAAAGTTTATCTACTCATATTTTTAATGGAACGCATATGTTTTAATACCCCAATACGTCTGTTTATATCTCTCTCCGAAAATAAGTTGTCTTGACACAGTTCTCACAGGAAACTGGGATGATTGTTTATAATAATATGATTTCGTTTACCTTAAATTTCACGAACCTGTATAAAAAATAGCTTGCTTTAAATATTATCAACTACTTTCGCCTATAGTAAACATTATAACAAGTTTACATTAAGCGCGTCATAGTACGACAAGCAATTTACGGTTAAAGTACCTACTATTGTTTTAAGAGGTTGTGGTAAGGACGAACAAACCGTGGGCCTGGTGTTAAGCGTCACACCTTTTTTTTTTTTTGACGGGGGGGAAATCTTTATGGATACCCCTGAGCCCAGGGAGACTCAGGGGTTATGTGGGGACTCTCCCTCCAGAGTAAGCGTCACGCCTGCCCTATTTAAGTAGGCAAACTTAGTACTCCCGTTTATAATAGAAAAAATGAAATAAATATAATGATTTTTTTATTAAACTTAAACTATAATATAACACTCAAATTGTATCAGACATAATTAAACGCAACTTAAAGATAAAAAGGTGGGGAATTAAAAGCCTTAATTAATTAAATATGAGAAGGTGACGAACCAGACGGCTAACGGCCTTTCTGGGCAATGGACTGAGAAATTAAAAATCGTAGGACATAAACATTTATTAGTCGTGATTTTTAATAAAAACAAAATTGTTGCTTTTTTGTGTAATACAAATAATAAATAAGTCGGTTTTTATTACGTATTCGTTGTTTTGTATTCATTTTTCTAATCCCGCTTTTATATAATGTAGATTGTCGTTTATTTTATTTAAGTATGTAACTTTATCAAACAAAGTCTCCATTGACGCAAGAGTTATTTTTGAAAACTATTAACTAAATTATCTGGCAATTTCTTCTATCACGCTTCTAGTCGTCTCTAAAAATACTTCAACTTTTTTCTTACTTTGTACTCGACCACCACTTTTCAACGTTCTATTGACTAATTACATCTATGCACCTGGCGGGCACGTGCTACGTAAATGTCACACTTTACGTTAGAAACAAAAAACCACAGTATACTGACCCCAACTGTTAATTTAATTCTTGAACAGCAATTTACAATGACAGCTCACGTTACGTTGGCAAATCTAATTAACGGGTTTTATTACACGTTTGAAAAAACCGCGTAATTCTTATTAAACATTTTGACAAATTGGGATACGTTTCATT